AGAACTTGAGGATTCTGTATCAAGGTTCTGTATCTGTATCAAATTTTATGTTGTTTACATCCAGACACTTCCAGACGCATTCTCTGAATTATAGTTGAAGTTCTTTGAGGATCTAGTGTGTCTGGCTCATCCCATACAGAAATGTGATACATGAAATATATTACCTTATATCAAGACTGATATTGTCATATACAGTATGTTACATGTAAGTCCATATGTAATTTTCACATTCAGTACGTACAGTCTCTGAATAAATGAAGATGCCATTTTATAACATATATAAAATCCCCATAGTAAAATTTGTATGTTAACATTTTAGTTTAGGGACCAACTCTCAGTATTAACTTAGCATGCATATTACTAGCATTTTGGCTATTTATTAGCACTTATAAAGCACATATCAATGCCTTATTCTGCATTTTAGATCCCTTAATCCTACCCCATACATAAACTAACTACCTTACTAACTATTAATAAGCAGCAAATTAGAGGTTTAGTGAGCCAAAAGTTGTAGTTAATAGTTAGTTAATAGAGATAATTGGTCTTTATTCACCAGAGAATCATAAAAAAATAATATTGCACAGTTTCCACCAAAAGAAAAAAAGCATCTCTTTTCATCATTGATAATAAGGAAACCCTTTTCTAAGCATTAAATCAGTGAGATTCCTTAAGGATCATGTGACATGAATGAAGTTATGCAATTCCATAAATTACATTTAAAATGTATTAAAATAGAAAACTGTTTAAATTGAAGTAATGTTGTACAATATTAGTGTTTTTTATTATTAAATAGATGCAGGCTAAATGGGCATAAGAGCTTTGCTTCACAAACATTAAAATAAAATAAAAAAATAAAATAAATAGTGTTCATCTGTATGACTCTAACATGCCTGTTCCTTTTCAATATTTATTCAATATTTATGCCACAATCTATACACCTAACAGACCAATTTACAGTTGCTGTGAGTGAAAGGAAAAGTACTTTATGAATGTGGCTCTGTTTTCACAATGTAATCCGTCCTGCCAGAGGAATTCACAGTAGCCTGACCATCTGAGGATAAGCAGGACTGCAATGTCACCTTTTGTACCTTAAGCATTATATTAGTACAGCTGATCTCAAGGATAACCAAGTCAGCACACAAAATGCTTGACGTAGCCATGTTTATTGACTACATTTTGTTAGGAACCCTGTGAGTTAGAGTATACACACAACACAAGTAGGTTAAATCAAGTCTGGTTTGTATAGTAGGAGATTTATGAACCTTAATAAACACCTCATGGATATATATTGCATCCACCTGTCAGCAGAAACTTGATCTATGTACAACAGCACGTGGAGGGTTATGACTTTACATCACATGCGTGTTTGGGGATAAATTAACCACAGCACCATTGAACAGTTCCCTTAAAACACTCCTTGCGAGATGTGTGTAAATGTGGGTTTCTTTCTTTTTCCTTTTTTGTTGTTGTCTATATATAGCTTTGATATCAAAAGGTGATATTTATCTAGTACTGCATGTATGTATTTATTTAATTTAATTAATTAATTCATTCATTCATTCAATTCATTCCTTCCTTCCTTCTTCACACATCACTTATATTTTAAATAAAAATGTTCTTCACTGAAACAGAATTCTTCTTGATAACCAAGTACCCAAACTTTATTTTCAGCAAATTGTTGCTTGTGGTGGACAGTTATAATAGTAAAAACTGATATACTGTACTTTTTTTCATTAAATATGTAAATTATTTATATTTAGATATTTTAGTAGATATCATACAAATCGCAACGACATCAACAACAACAACAATAATAATAATTATTATTATTATTTTTATAATTATTATATGTATGATGGATGTTCTTATTTTAAATTGCAAGTCTGGGACCAGAATCAACCAATGAAATGTATCAATAAATGGTATTTTGAAATGTAATAAAACTAAATTATGAAAGAATATTATTAATTTGTGTAAAAACTGATACTTTTCATTAAATATATATATATATATATATATATATACACACACACACACACACACACACACACATATATATATGTTAATAATAATAATAATAATAAAGTGTTCATATTTTAAACTGGAGGTCTGGGTCTGGGACATGAATCAAACAATAAAATGTATAAATAAATTATGAAAGAATTTGTAAGAGCATTATTTGACCTTCATATGTTTTTTAAAATAAAAAATAACCCCTATCCATATAATTTACTTTTATAAAATGGTCCTTGTTATAAAATGATTTGTATAACATCTAACATTACTCAGATTTTCGTTTCTTGTTTAAACTGATCAACTTTCCCAAGATCTCTGAAAAAGTTCTGTAAAGTCAGCAAAGAGGCAACACAAACCTATAGATTATGGTCCCAGACAAACTTAAAGCATGATATTAGAGGTCTTAGCTCTGTCTGGGCCTTCTGCTGAGTTCAGTCAGACAGAACCACTGTGGCTTCCCTCAGTAAAAGTATGGGTTGAACTTAGAACGGATCAGTCACACTCGGCTAGCTAGAACCCCCACACATGCTCACATACACTTGAGTCTTTCTGCCCTTAAGAAAATTTCTGACTTTTAATGCTAATGTCCAGACACATTGCTTTAGGATTAACATTCAGACTGCAGGAGACCACAAGAAGAGACTAGAAGTCCTTTCTGGTTCAAAACTTCATCTGACCATTTGATAGGCCTACACAGCAATATATGTATAAACAGAATTGGCACAGAACAGACTAGATAGGCTGTTGGCTCCAAGCCGATCTGATAAATCAGTGCTGAATTCCAACTAGAAATAATAAAAATAAATAAATAAATAAATATTTTCATACACATTCTGTTGAAGCATCAGGAATTTAAAAGTGCATGAATACTTATGGAGAATAAATTTGAAGAACAAAGACTTGAGATGTGGTATACATGGGAATATAAAATTAATTATTTTGCTAAATAAACTGGAGATTCTTCTTTAAACTTTTGAATTCCATGTTGTGAATGTTATTTATTTATTTATATTATTTTTATTCTTGTGGTTGACACTTTCAACAGCATTGGGTAAAATGCCACTGCCAACATTAAAAAAACCTAATAAGTCACAGTTTTTAGGAAAAACTAGTATGATAGATAGATAATATGTCAGAATTGTGCAAAATAGCTGTAAATTTCCAACAATGTCACTTGGCAGCAGTACCCATAAAGTAGTCAACTACATTAGATGTCTTCTGGGAATAAAACCAATAACACATTACTGTAAAAAAAAAAAAAGTAAATAAATAAATAATCAAATTATTCTAAAGAGTGGTGAACACACCAGTTTCTTTTGCATTTGGTATTATTCAACAAAGTGATGAGCAGCACGGCTGCATGTGTGCGGCATCTTCACATTTACATAAAAAAACAAACAATCTTGCTCTGGTTCTGGAACATTGTACGTAACGTTCAGAAGCCATAAAACTACTGACGCTCTGCAGCCACATCACAGCCAGATTCTCGGTTTTACGGTCTCGCTCTGAGAACCATCTCCAAATACAAGAGTGCCACAGGACATTCTGTTCCCAGCTCGTGCTGTGAAAGCTCCAATCAGCGCTGAAAGATATATCCCACAATCCTTGATCCTACTGCGCTCAAACCCAGCGTTTTGTTTTTGTACGGCATCCAAGAGTTCAAAGTGTTCCCCTCTGGTGAGACAGCAGAGAGGCTCTGTTTTGGAAAGAAATGAGTTTTTGAATCGAGTTGCCACCTGTAGTTTACACATGGAGAACGTGGCTCCCAGCTGCCAGTCGCTTTAGATCTTGTTCCGTGAATACAATGGCACAGTTTCAGCTGATCACATGGCAGGGCCGCGTCTGTACGGTGCTGTTTTTCTCATAGCCTGTAAACACGGCCGTGACCCTCCCCGGATACGGCAGGGGGGCTTCTGAGGACAAGGAGAGGGCTTCCTCTCTTCTCTTTCATCACAGATTGTGCAATTGCTTTCATTCCTGAAAACGGACGGGATCATTTTTATACATGTGAACATGCATTGTACCTTAACACGCATCAGACGTGGTCTTGTTTTCTAGTAAAATGGTTATTAATTTATTTAAAATTGTATTATATAATGTAACTTGTTTTTAGAGACTATATATTTTTTTGTTCTTTTTTGAAACATAAAGCTCTGTAAATAAATAAATAAAAATGCTTAAAACAAGATGAGAAGATAAGAACATTCTATGCAATTTAAGATATATCTAGCGTAGCGTTAGTTCTGGCAGGTCACGTTAGTCAAGCTCGCATCAGCTGACTCTCAGCTGATCCCCATCAACCTATGGGAATACGACACCTATCTAAGTATTCATATATAAGGTCCCGCAGTAGTATCAGCAGTTTTCGCATTGCTCAATAGCTAATTACCCTCCTCCATCCCCAACTCCTCCTCTGTCAGTCAGGATTCAGCCTTCTGATTCTCCTTTGAATCAGACTAATTCTAAAATGTGTACATAACATTATTGAACTTTAATGATATCTGCAATACATTTATGTTGGTTCTGTTCTGTTTTACAGATCTCCCTGCTCTTATCCATGCTAGGCTGCATGAATGGGCAGGGAGTTTTTTGCCCAGAACAGAACCATACAGCCTTTGATGATAGTGATCCTGACAGAACTCAGGGAGTTCTTGCCCAGAACGGAACCATACCGCCAATCCAAACTGTATGCTAATTGTCAATCATCTTTGACGATAGTGGTCCTGACAGAAGTATGTATATAACTGCTAAATGTACCTTTTTAGATATTTTACTGGGAAAAAAATACTGATTTACAGTATGATGAAATTCCTAGACAACATTTTGGAGGGATCGCCTATTTTCCAGGCTTGTTCTGTCAGACTTAAACTGATATATTCCTTCATGGATAATAAAAAGTGTGTGTCTTTGTGTGTGAGAGAGACTGGTGTGACTAATGTCAAAAAATGCTTTTAGCATGACCACTTTATTGGCTTCTGTCTCAGCAGGATAATGTAGACCGAGCTGCCAGTCACAGACAGGCAGATATGATTGGACCAGGTTTTCAGCAGTCAACCAATCGGAATTCACCCAGCCATCAAGGTCAGTGAACTAATAATTTGCATGCACACTTCATACAATTTTTAAAATAAGATACCCTGGCTCCAGTGGTTGTAATGACAGTATTTTTTTTTTGTGTGGTTATGGTGTATGGTCTTAATATCCAAAACAGAGGTAAAGCGTTTTTTTAATAGATGTGTAACAGAATTGCTTCTAGTTTAATAACTCACACAATTAACAAGTGTGAGTATGTGTGTACATACTTGATTATAGGTGGGGGTCATCTGTCTCACACACTTGGACTTGGGTGGGGGCTGTCTGTCGTACATGCCTTTTATAGTTGGAGACTTGGATCTATATTCAGGCCTCTTCTGCTGTAAACACTCCAGCAGTTCAAAGGCTTGATTTGTAAAGACACAGGGTGCCACTCATTAAGCCTCCAGCCTAATTGTGCCATACAAAAATACAGAGGCATGATATTTGGAGCATGAGATTTAAGCACAATATCGCCGCAGCATGGGAGGTAGAGCCTGAAGTTTTTTTTTCTTTCTGAAAATCTGATGTTGTCATTGAAGTAAATGGAGCAGAAATGTTTCATTTAGGACTTCTCAGAATATGCCGAAAAAATCCTCACAGCTGTGACTACACTAAACTATTGGCTCTGATAATTTAAAGGCCCTTAGTATTTCATCATTCACTGAGTGGTGTTTGTCGAACACACACACACACACACACACACACACACACACACACACACACACACATATATATATATATATATATATATACACATATATTCTGTTGATTTGTGGATTTTTAACACTGTTTAATAATGTTTATTCAGAACATTATATAAACACTTATCACACAACTAAATGAATGAATGTATATATATATATATATATATAAAAAACTAGAAAAAATAGCAAGAGTTTGTTCCCATGTCTGTTCTTTGACCCTGCAGTTTTCATACTCCATTGAAAACCACAAACTGTGACAACAAAGGTCTTATTTTGGGATGTCAGAATGCAGCTAAGAATAGATGAGAAGTGTTTGTACGTCAAATCTCAGATTGAGGCCAGAAATATTCATTGCTTTGTCGAAATCCCATGTGACGTTTACTGCTATGATTTTACAGCTTAAAACCTCTCACATACTTATAATCGTTTAATAGAGTTAAAGACCACACTCTATTATTTGCTATGAAGTTAACTGGCTTATGACGTTTATTGAAACTGAGGTGCTTTGTTGAAATGTGACATTGTAGGCTTTTAGCTCAAATGGATTACATTTGACGGGTCTAAGTAAATGTTTTGCTTTCTGGAAGTGTGTGGGGTCTGTCATTGATCCTCTCTCATGAAAGGAGCATTCAAAACTGAATGGCAATGAAGTTTACAATAAAATTTACGGTAAAAAACCGGCAGCTGTGGTTGCCGGAATTTTACCGTAAAAATACGGTAGCAACATTTTAGGTTTTATGGTTTTAAATTAAATTTACAGTTAAATAACGTAATTTCATTAACTGATATAATGTTAATATACCAACCTATTGAAGTACTGAAATCTGTTTTGTACCTTTGTAATACACTGATAACCACCAAATGCAGGTGGTGATGAGAAAGTCACATGATGAACCAAAGCCCATCACAAGCAGCTTTTATATGCTAACATATATAGAAGGTGCACAGTGTCATTCACACAAACACTAAACACCATCATGGTAACACACATGAAACTGAAATAATGCAATAAAAATTCATTTAACAACATTAGGTGTAACACAAAACCCTAATATACAAAACTGATAAGAACAAACTAAGAAGAAAGTTATTTCAACAAAAAAAACATCAAATTTGAAATGTAACGCAGGGAATTCTGGGAATGTGAATTTACGGTTATTCACTGTAAATTATAAGGTCTCTTTCACTTACAATAATGGTATACTACCGTAAAATTAATGTCCAATACATGTAATATCCAATACAGTTTTTCACCGTATATAGTAGGGGAATTTACCGTTTACCATTTAACAGGTTTTTACTGTAGCATTTTTACAGTCTTTTACCGTTAAATTCACGGTCATTTTTTACAGTGTAGGTTTTTTGTAAGAATGCATGATTTCTATGTATATGTGATTTTGTGTTCTGCAGAAGAAAGACTAGCAGGCATGCAGTTTTTTGTATGAGCTTTTTTTATCAGAGATATTTTCTAGTTCTGGCCTTTAAACTGAAAGGCTGGATCGGACCACTGCAGCGTTATTCAAGGCTTTCCTTTGTTGAGGTCAGTTCGTCTCCTACACCGCATGGTTCTGATGGACCCTTGGGCAGCAATATCCAGGGCATTGCATTCTTTAGAAGAAAGAGAGGTTTTAGTGTGGTGGGCGGATGGGGCTTATAAGATTATGGAAGGTGAGGTATATGAAACTCTGATTAGATTGATGTTTCCCAAGAACAGGCCCTGATCCCCATTATTGTTTTTCCAGATTTTCCCTCTCTCTACTCACACTCTGCTCTCGGACTGCCAGGGGCATTTTACACATCATTCTCTCTTTGACTACTTTACATGCACACCAAAAAACTGCTTATTGCAAGAAAGCCGTTTAGGACACGAAAGCTGCATATAGAAATGAAATGTACGTCATTTACTTACCCTGTCGTTTCAAACCTTTATAGCTTCCTTTCTTCTGTGGAATAAAAACGAAGATATTTTTAAGAATGTTGGTAACTGAAGAGTTTTGGTTACCATTGACTTCTATTAAATGCACAAAAACACATTCATGTTCCACAGATAAAACGGAAGACAAGCAATTTAGTTTTTCGGGTGAACTGTCCCTTTAACCCACATATACAGTGGATGCAATACCATCAGTAAACCGTTTTCTCTGTACCTTTACTTTAGCTATCCCAAGCAAGAGCACACTCTAAAGTTGTGGCCACATTTCAATTCATATGGCAGAATTTCACAGATAAAATATAGTCATCTCATTAGGAATTTTGCGGGAAGGACAAGTGAGACGAAAAGTTTCCTTTCATGGCTTTTACATCGGCTTCAAGTTTGTTGAGCTGTTAGCAGTTTTGTTGTGGACTATAACTTTAATGGTCACACTTTATTTTAAGGACCAATTCTCACTATTGACTAACTATCAACTACAATTTTGATCCTTTTTGACACTTTTAATGATGTTCTTTTTATCTTGTTTTGGAATGTGACAGATCCCATCCCCATTCACTTTATGGTACTGTATATGTTGGAGGATCAGGATCACCCTGCATCTCCATTATCTTTCAAAAACAAAACTCAGGTTCATATTTCTGATCCTTCTCCTACTCCTCTATATGAATCCCCCACCCTATTTATCTTCCTCCTTCCCTCTTGTCCACCCCTCCTGTATGGTGCTTATATGAAGTCACTGTATTGTTTGGCCAACTTGGGAATTCTTTAGAGTGCTGACTATATCTGTGAAAAGACTAGCTCCACTGCCTCCTTTCACATGTATACATCCATGTGTGTTTTTTTGAGGCACATATCTCCCCCCACGGGCCTTCTACGGGACGCTCCTGCCCAAGCGACTCCTCCTTTCTCCTTTTATTACGCCCGTCTCTTTGTTCACTCACAATTTGCATGTTAATTGTCACCAGCTGGATGGTCTAATGGTCTCAGTTGTGAACATGGTGCTATAAAAAATATGTTTTAAAACTTTTGCATTTGTCTTTAGCAGTCTTTGGCATAACTGAACCAATTTAACCACTTTGTTTTTCCTCAAAAAAAAAAAGCCTCAGAAGTAGATTAGCTTAATGTATTTTGTATTTTGTCACTATACCACTGAACCAGATACACTGTGGTAAATTAGCTCATGCACACCATTGCTAAAGTGAACCCATATGGAAATCACTGACATATCAGGGTGTGTTTCAATCATCACCCTTTACTAATTGTTGGAAATCTTTTAATTAGACAAATATCAAAGGCCCTGTAAATACCCGTCCCAGATGATCCAATCATAAGTGAGCAGTCAAGACATATTGACATTGGTATTAACGTGTTCAAATGTGTACTGCTTTTAAGGCATAACCAGCTATGTTTAAAGGGGTTAGTTGACCCAAAAATGACAAAATTTGTCAAAATTTATGCAAATGTCATTCTAAACCCATAAGACTTTCATCTTTGGAATACAAATAAAGATATATAGAGCACATCAAATAACAGCAGCTCAAACCTGCTTGATTGATGCCCAAGAACCAATGAGGTTTGTTATTATGCAAACACTGTTGAGCTTCTGTTTATTATATTTGATGTACTCTCTGTATGTATGTTGATCAGTGTCTCTTCAGAAGATTTGTATAAAACCATTTTTGTAATTACTTTTACAATGTTTTTATCAACTTTTTGAAGCTTGAATATCAGATGAAAATCAGATGAAGGCAATGTTTTTTTTTTTCAGGTCTAAATGAATAAATAAATGGACTTTAGTCCCGTTCTTTAAATTAATGAATTAATTGATTTATTTATGTAAAAATGCTCTTTTTTCTTAATGTAGCTCCAGGTCTAAATGAATAAATAAATGGACTTTAGTCCCGTTCTTTAAATTAATTAATTTATTGATTTATTTATGTAAAAATGCTCTTTTTTCTTAATGTAGCTCCATCTACTGGCGTCTTTCTTTACACTAACACTGAATGTATTGCATCCAGTGTTTTTCTTTGATAATAATCATCTTTCTTTGTCATTTTATCCAAGAATGTGGGTCTAATTAGATGAACCGTTAGTGTGAGAACCGTTTTCATTAATAAGCCGAAAGAACACAGTTTCAGGTGTTTACATGCCTTAATGGGTAAACATCAAATTGTGTCGGTTGGTTTATGCTTATCTATCTTATGACCATTATTTTTTACTCTCTTTTTAAAAATGTTTTTTAGCCGATTGACTCCAACCACTTTATTTTCCCAATCCATTTAAAACAAAATGATTATTTAGCAAATATCCTATGACTATCTTGCTTGTTGTTTTTATGGAAAATTTATTAAAATCAATTATCTAGAAAC